GGGAGAATAATGCCTTACTGCGCCTAGAGTAAAAGAAATGCAAAACTGTATACAACGGAATTTATTTTAAAGCCACTGATATAAAAAAACACTGGCAGTTGCAGAAGCATTGTTTGAGGTATTACACAAACTGTATATACTGAAGATTATTTCCAACACCATCCAATCAAGCCAGTGCTTTTCCCTTCATTATTCTATAGTATTACAATAATATATTTAAAATTATTTTACATATAATTAGACCTTGAACAAAATTCCAAGAAATTCAAATTCTGTAAGAAGGACACTTTTTCCCTTATATATTAGAACGCACATGATTCCCATTGTGTGCTAAAAATGTATATTTTACATTGAGGACAATACTCATGCTTGTGCCCAGATGTTGAAGTGTTTAGACATGTGCCTTGTACTCTCTGTGGGTAGAAAGTTGGTCTTAGTTTCCCACACTGATGTCCTGCACGCTGTGGTCAATGAATAACAACAGGACTTTGAATGAGGCTCTTGTGACAGATGCTGGACGAGTGTCGTAGTGAAACATATCCTGACATCACCAACCATCTGGAGGGAAAGAATACCATTGGCTGGTTCTTTTTAGTCTGTAAAGTTTGGAAACTTAAGCCATGTTGTCATGATTGGTCTGCTAAGATTTTTGCAAATTACTTAATCACATTCAAATTATTAAATTAAATCATAATTATACTTTTGTAATCTGAACTTCATCAAAATTTCAATTTCTCTGTAGAGATGATTGGCAGGTTGAAGCAGCTGTTTCCTTAAGTGTGCCCAATCCCTTTGGTTAATTATTATGCTGCTGGTGGGGGAAGATGCTAATCATAAAAACTACGCCTTCAAACTATTATTTCTTCACAAATGTGTTCCTGAAGGTTTGCTATAACACATTTAAAAAGTCAACTCCTGTAGGAAAATCCGACAGAGCTACTTTTAAATGTATAAGGAAAAGTGGGCCTGGACGTTTTTAAAATATCTGATAAAATTCCCTGAATACATGTGCCAAATTCAAAATAAAGTATTCTATTTGGAGTCCTTTTTCATCTTTTATTTATTTAAATGCGATTCCAATCATCAAGATTTAATGTTTGGATAATTTATGTCAAAATTGGGAGCAATGGGAACCAGCAGGGAAATCCTGTCTGTCATCCTAAGACCTTGAAAATCAACCAGTGTGCATTAAAGCCAGGTAATTTGTTTTGCTTTAAGTCATAATTTTCCAGCAGGACTCTGACCCTTGGCTGTGTGGCATTTATGCTGAAGACCTGTTTTTCTTTTAAACAATTTATTTGTGATCCTTGGATGTTAGTGAAAGAAAACAACCCAAATGTGAAGCACGATAACTTTAGAATTATTTTCATATTTTACTTATTTAGTAATAATAAAGGCACCTAAGGCCCAATTTAAGGAAATGGAAAGCTTAAAATTCAGTATACCATTAGAAACAGGTTAGAGAAAAAATAAATTCTGGGAGCCAGGGTCTCTTTTAATCTACGTCTCTCTTCAGGTCAGAGGTCAGTATCTATTGTCCCACAGGGCTCTGTGAGAGAGCGTCCTCTGCTTTCCCACACTTTGTCCTTTCACTGCTTTCACTGGAGGAACAATAGAAGTGTGCCTTATAATGCATGCCTTTAGGGACAATGAGTGACCGCTTCAAAAAGAAGCCTGGTTAATGTTAAACTTTTTTATTGTGGAATAGAAAAAGTTTTTCAAAATAATGGTGCTGAGAAGGTTTCTTTGAAGTGAGCATTCCCCCTCTTTTTTAATGACTTTATTTATCCCATGATAATCAAAGATTGACATTCATATTACTCCATCTATAACAGCTTTTATTTGAACTACATTACTTGCTTCACACTTAACAGATTTTTTTTGTTTTTTATTTATTCCTGGACTGTTATGCCTTTACTTGAATTGGAAAGTGGACAGAATAGTAAATTGGGAGAGAGCGTTGTGAATGACATGCAAATCTAACCACTTGGTCATATGCGCCCCCTTACACAGGTATTATTTTGACGAAAAAATACTGTATATGTTTAGGTTCAAACTGAGTGAGTCATTGTAGGAGATCTTTATCCACTGAACCCTAAAAAACAATTTCATAAGACAGAAAATGTGCAGTTTCCAGTGTTTGTTTATTCATGAATGTAAATTGACACTGATTAAAAACAGCACCATCTAGAGGTGACAATACATCACAACAGCAACAACAACTGTCTTTATAAAAGACAATATTGAAGGATGCAGTCAGAACCTCAGGTCAAATTATACAAGTGATTCTTAAAGTTTGAATAGGTAAGTGACTGGAATAAGTGATAATTTAAACCTTTTACATTAAAGGAGAACACACTGATCTTTAAGCAGAACGTGACAAAAGTAAATCAATTATTTTTGAAAAGATAAACTAAACATGAATAAATATGTGAATCTTAAAACAGATCAGTTTTGAGGAAAAACACATTAAAGTTTAAAACTCCTTCATGACAATAATATGTCAATTAAAAAAAAGGATAGTAACATGTTTTGATCAGTATGATCAATAACAGCCATGTTCACAATGAACAAGTCACCTAAACAAGTAAGTATAGTATACAAATAATAATACTGCTGATGCAATCTGTTTTGAACCATGCAACATGCATGACACCATTTCCTCTCTCTCGATTCGAGAGATATTGCTTCTTACATTTTCATTACATTTTCTTTTTGAAATATAATGTTTAAATAGAATAGTGTTCTGCACATACAGAGCATTACATTTTTAGAATTTCATAGAATTCAGTTAATTTGTCTTTGACCAATGTGGTCGTCTCAGTTTGTCTGGTAGAAACTTCAGGCTTGGCGTCTACCACGGCCTCCAGGGGGCGCTGTTGACTGGACTCTTCTCTTTGGTGTTGCTGGTCTGGACTGTGGAGCTCAGAGGAGAGAAGTCAGCCTCTCTCAGGTTCTTATCAGAGGAAGGCTGCAGCTTGTTGAAGTGGTTCAGCAGTCTTCTCTGCTGGTGATTCTGCTGCTGCAGTCGTCTGAGGACACAAACTGTCATCTCCAGGATGTCTGCTTTCTCCAGCTTGGAGTCTGGCTCTTGTTTGAACTCTGGACCCAGGAGAGACTTGAGCTGCTCAATGCTGCTGTTGATTCGCTCTCTGCGTAACTTCTCCACCTGAGGCTTTCTGAGCTGCAGAAAGAAAAACAAAAATCATTAGACAACTTATTCTGAGAAGCATGTTAGTGTAAGAAGACATCTTCAAATGAAAGGTTTAAGTTTTCTTGGATCTTGAATTTACCTTGTGGGTCAGAGTCAGATGCTCCTGAGAGTTGGTCATTGCTGCAGTGATTGTAGGTGCCATGTCTGGATGTCTGTGCTGTAGAGGTCTCTGTAGAGAGAATCTGATCTCTGCTGGCTTCATCCCTCCTATTTATAGTCCCACATCTCCATATGAATGTGTGGGTTTAGGTCTGACTGGACTTTCTCACAGTCTCATCCAATCAGAGATTTTGTTTCTCATAAAGGAGCACATACGCCAGAAGGTTTTATTGATTTGAATGCAATGGTTAGATATCAGGGGACCAGATGCTGGTGTTGGGGGTCACCACTTTTTCGGCTGGGAAAGTGATGACCCTGAAGAGATATCAAATCTGCTGCTGGGATCAATGACTCGCACATGCTCGTCAACCTGCACTCACTTGGGAGACTATCGTGCTTCAGGTGTAGTGTTACTGTGACCTGATAAAGCAGTTGCAAAAGTCCAACTAAAAAACTGGAAATTGCAATAGTGTATTTTAGTTAAGGATGTTTCAATATGAAGACAAGTTAAAATGTCAGTTGTTAAGTTGTGGAGGTTTATTTGGAATCCATGCTACCTTCACATGGACGTCTCTTTATATCAAAGGTCTAGAGGTTCCTCTGCTTTCCTACACTTTCACTGGAGGAACAATAGAAGTGTGTCTAATTACACATCACACTAGAGCTGAGCTGTTGAATAAGAACCTGGTCGATGTCAAATTGAAACTGACTGTAAGACATAAATAATGAGGCAGTAAAAGTGTCTTTTTAATGTGCCCCAACCACCACCATAATTACTCCATAAGAATAAAGTGACATGTATCCGTCTTAATAAAAGACTTATTGTTTCATTTTATACCAAACATATATGTATGTATATATACAATAACCGTGTGTTTGCTTAACCTTATCTTAATCAAAGGAGTAAATTATGATTTAGACAAATAATCTCAGTTAAAAAAGGAAAACAGTGACATTATTAAAACTGATTTTTGCTTTCATATATGTACCAAGGCTACATGAGCTACATACATTTAAGATGCTTCACGTTGAAAGTGATTGGACAAAACAGGTTGTAGATTCCTACAAACAGAAACCTCATAGCATTATTTCATGACTACATGACACATACAAAACCTCACTGGGAAATAAAACTACTTTAAAGGTATTACATCTTTAAGAAATGTATTAAGATATCTTGGTGTTGAGGATTTAAGTGTAGCTCTGTTAATGACATATATCCACTTTTTTATACATCACAACATTAAAACAGATTAGCAGGTACTTCATACTGTATTCAACATATTCATTGTTAAACCCATCAGAGTAGAGATCTTGTGCCCAGTTACATTCAATGAAATGTCAGCCTGCACCCCCTTTAGTCGCATTATGAACTACTGACTTCAGGGCGCTGGTACAGAACGCCCAGGATGAGGACTAAAAGAGGCATTACATCCATTGTACCACACAGGATTCAGCTGCTTAATAAGCTCTGATTATACAGTTTGAACTCGGCACTCACTTTAATTAACTTGTTACTGAAATCCCTAATTTAATCATGTGATGCTTTAATGTGTTTTTATGTGCTGTCCTGTAAATGTTTGTTTGTATAGTATTTTATGCTCCCGGTGCAAGGCAAATTCCCCTAGGGGCAATAAAGGTTTCATTCATTCAAGTGTATCAATGACAACACAAAACCATGTTTTAATAGCTAATTAAAATCTCTTTATTACAATCACATATACATCATCATATTCCAAAAAGCTTGCTGTCGTGAAAAGTACCCTTGCACAGACTGATGGAGGTTGTGTTGCAAGCTGGATGGAGGGATTGTCAGATGGACTGATATCTAGTGTAGAATTCCCCAGCAGCAAGTGTCTCCGCTCCAGTGTGCTTTTAATTTCACATCACATGAGGACAGGCAGCAGCACTATTTTCAGCTCTCTGTGTCCTTGTGTAACGTAAGCAAAGAGAGTGAAGGGGGCGGGTGAGAAGGAAAAAAAATAATCTTTCTTCGTCATCCATTATTCAGACCTTTTGAGTCACAGCCGAGAGAGGAATAAAAGTGGAAACAAACCGGGTTGAGGTTTGATTTCACTTCTGATTCCAAGTGTTTTCAACAAACAAGCATTTCTGTAAATCATCATATTCTCTGTTTTCTCCAGGGTGAGTTTAAAAGATGGATATCAGTTTAATCTTTCTGTGCGCAGGACAAACAAAGCAGGTACTCAGGCCCAGCAGTACCACTACTCACCCATCACTGATTTATTTCCTTATTCCAGAAATGTTAATGTGGGAAAATGAGCACAAAGCCAAACATTGCATTCAAGCCAATGAAGATGACTGCAACTTACATGTTCAATCTGGGAACGCCTCAGCAATGACCGGACAGCTCTGTAGCCTCAAGGGGCGATGGCCAATATTTCAGGGCATTAGCCAGTGGATATCTGGGAAATAGCTAACACAGCCAAGAATGTATATCTGTGGTGCTGGTCATTATTACAGTCCTATGAGCAATTTGAGATGCAGAAATGGAGTTGGAGTTGAGGGAAGACATCTTTGGCTAATGTCTACTAACTCCATTTTGCATGTCAATGTAGATCAATTAAACAAGCTAATGAAATTAAAAATTGTCACCAGACAATAGTTGGTGAAATGTGAGATTGCGTCGTGCCCAGGGCATTATGCCTCTTCGCATTTCACTTTGGCTCTCTATGGACATTTTTCAAAGCAGACATTTGGCTTGGTCTAGTAAAAAAATGTGAATGTCAATGAACAATGTCTGGTCTGAATAATTGTCCTATTATCTAATTACAGTTGGAAAGTCGGCAAGCATGCCAGGACTAAGAGCTAATTCTGCCACTTTTAATTATATTACTTTCCCCTATTCTAATCCTACCAAGACGTCTTAAAATGTCTTGTATTTCTGATGCAATTTCTGTAATGCCACAGAGAAATTCCATCTGTCAGCTTCCTTAATTTTGGACTCATTTTAGAAGCAGTTAACAAAATGTTGGCTTGATGATGATGATACAACATGTAAATTAATACAAATGTGCAAGTGTTTTGTCATTGTTTTACCTTCTCCTGACTGACATTTTTACAAACGTTTCCATGTATGTCTGCAAAAATATGTTTGGACAAGGTGACCTTGGGATAAATTCTAACATTTCAACCAGCACCATCATCAGGTGAAATAAGAATTTTGTAAAAATGTTGCTTTATGACCCAATACCAGAAGAACTCGTAACATATTCATGATTCTCAAAAGACACTCTGTTTTCAGTTCAACAAAGTAAATTAAACCTTACCAGGGAGTCTGTTTAATATGAGTCTGCTGACATTGTCATTTTGAGCATGGTAGCGTGCTGACATCATAGAATCTAGCTCACAGTACTTAATGCATTGTAAACACATCCTAGAAGCATCTCTGTCCGGGACACAGAGATGAAGTGATATCCATTTGATATATCTAACCCTGGAGAAAGAACAAAACAAGATGATTTTCCAGATTATCGTCGTGTTTAGAGCATTAGAGTGTCAGTGTAATAATTCATGGATGCCACATTTAACATTCAGTACAATCTGAGTTACTTCCCATGAATTGTAACAATATTGTGAGTGATAATGTACTAATACTACAAATGTAAATCTCTGTGCTGTATATACAGCCTCCATAACACAGCTATAAACCCACAGAATCACATGATAAACCACTGGAGGCGTCTGATGGAATCAGCGTGTCCTGATACTGTTGCAAGTCCAACCTCGTCTGAACCTTCTGACAAAATCAATATGTACATGTCATAATGACACAAAACAACAGTAAATTTCAATTTAGCCATTGAAAGAGACAATAATATTCACATTTTGTGTCCACTCTTTAAAAAATGGTAAATTAAAGTTTCACCAGCTTCTAGGTAAATCAACTAGATTTTAAAGAGTCTAAAGATCATAAAAACTTTTCACATTAGTTTTGTAACCATCACAAGAAAATTATTTAAATATGTCCAACACAATGACGATAAACAGATTTTTTTTCCTCCATAAATCACTATGATAGTTCATAAAGAAAACACCGATACACACTGTCGTTCTATCTACAGTCGTTCAACTGGCCTCCGTCCCTGGTACAGAAAGGTAGGGAAAACTTTTTGTATCAAAAGATTATGTGCAAAAAGTTGTTCTTTTAGGTCCCTCTAATGGAAAACAATGGAAAGAAATAATGGGGATATCTACATGACCTTTGCGCTTTCCGTAGACTCTAGGATGATGTGCACCGACTCGTTACTTTTGTGCATCTGTGTTTTAAAACGAGTAACTGCATTCAATGGAAACATGACAGGCAGTGCACAGAGCTCTGTCATTATCATATTAAAACTAGCTTGAGGTATTATTGCACATTTTCCCAAACTGCAGACCTGAAATCAGTAGATTTCAGATTTACTCACGCATTGTGTCAGCTTTCAGTGGAAAGTCAACAACACTGACTAAAGCTCTCTCTCCTTCCCAAATCTATAGATGCTGCAGCAGTCTGGACAAATTGACTTGAGGTGCACAGTCGATGCATCACATTTGATTTCAATAAACATGCATAAGCTGTTACCTGGATAGGTAGACTTGTAAACATCCTGCCAAGAGTAAACACAGATGCAGGAACAGGAAGCCACGGACCATGAGGGGCCAAAAATCTTATGCTGCATTCACACCATATCAGTAGAAAAGTAAGAACGAGAAAGAAAAGAAAAACCTCTTATTTTAAGAATCACATGAAGGTGATTTCAGACAACCAGCTGCTGCAGCTGTGCTGCCTTACAGCTATGTTCGTTTTCTGCAATTTGGTTAGACCCTCAAATCAAGTTGCACTTTAATCTACTCTGATCTCATCAAATGGCTTCAAAGAGTAGGATGTGGTTGAAAATAGAGAAGGTTGAAACTCCCAAAGCAAGTTCAGATAACTAATATCATAACTATGGTACAGTAGCCCAAACTAGATATTCTCGACTGATATTTTGCCGGCAGAGAAATGCATTAAATTAGGAACTTGTGCCCTAAATAAAGACAGGTCAATTCCAATCTCAAATAGCAGAACGTGTTCAGAAGAGCAAATAGAAATGTTAAGTTTGATTGGGCTATTTACTTCTTACATGTATGTATCCTTTCTATATCCAATTCAACAGTACAAGTAGTAAAAGTTGCTATTATTTTGATGTAACTGCCAATGGGGACCTTGACATTTCTTAGCCATATTATCAATATTTCCTAGTTCATTACAGCTAGTGAGAAACATTGTTGCTGTCAGATCCTAAAAACCTCTGTTTCTAATTAAATCTAGCAGGTTAGTCTGGGCTTCTGTAATAGCTTTGGCTGCATACAAGTACGGTCTGAAAGATATGACGTGAATGTGGCATAATATCCTCCAGAAACACAGAGGAAGGTAATGGTTGAAATCCTCTGCAAATCCCCATGGCACATTTCTCCCCACCATTGCTCTCACCAATCAATACTTAAACTGTAAACAGTGTTCCTATAAAAAAAAACTGTTTATGATTTGGTATCAAATCTAAGTTATCATTGTCCTCAGTGCTACAGTTGATGTGTTCTGTGGCCCTGATGTAAAAGTAGTACTTTGTCATTAGTGCACAGCCTGGTAAATCACGCAGAACGGTATTGCTCCCCGAAATCTCATGGTCTTTTTTTTTAAGGATTGTTTGTAATTTTGATAAAGACTTTGTGGGGGGGGGGGGATTGTAGCATACGATGTAGCATGAACCACATGATTCAAACATAGGCGCTCATCTGACCTTGTTCGGTTGTTTGTCATTACAAGCGTCATGCACTGACACATTGTGTCCGGAGTGCTGTACAGTGTTGACACACCCACACATAAAGCTATCAGTTGAGGTGAGAACAGCGAAAACAGTGAGGTTTGCTCTCGTACGCACATTCATTAAAGGAACAGTCAAACATTTTCATAAATCATCATGTTCTCTGTCCTTCCTAGAGTCATTTGAAAAGGTGGATATTAGTCTTCGCCCTTCAGATGCAGAAATCTTGAGGACCCTGTTTTTGTTGGATAATTTAACATTTTACTCCAAAGCAGACTAGGGCAGCAGGATGCAGGCTAAAAGCTGCTCATTGTCCTGTAGGTGTGAGCAATCTCAAAGTCAGAAATTGTGAGGATGGATAAAAATGCTCACTGATGGGTCTGCATGTATTTCAGAAGATGAACATTTTATCACTTAGAACATGCAGAAAAAATCTGCCAGCCATGAATAAAGTACAATTTGGACTTTAGTTTGTTTATGAACAAAATGTGTCATTCTTTTGAGGCTTTGCAGCTGCAGAACTAATGTTTATTTTGCATTGAAGTAGTTCTTTAATGACCAAATCAGAGTTAGACAAATCAAGGTAATTATTTTTATTTTGATCAGCTCTGGAGTTTTTCCCTCATTTGATTGGACAAGGTCCTCTTCTTTGTGTCCAGGCTAAACATGTCCTGGACCCATTTCTTTACTCCACTCTAACTAATATCTATCTCATTATGTGAATCTGGCAAAGACAGAACAACATGACTTACTAAAAATGTATTGTTAGCGTAATATCACACACACTTGCACACAGTGTTACTGTTAGACGTGATGCCCATGCAGTTAGACGGTGGTGACTGTCAGCAGGGAGCTGGGACACAGCATGTCATCATGGTTATCAAGCCTGGTCCCGTGAGTCAGGAGCTCCTCTACTGTTGTCCAGTCATCCAATAGCTTCCTGTTCCTCAAACGACTCAGCTTCCTCTGACTCATCTCCAGAACAGTGTTGCATCGCCCATCAGTAAAAACTCCGCCTACTCTACTGTCAAGCATACCTCCATCTCCAGCAGAAGCTCCTCCCCCTCCTGTGATGGCCCCTCCCCTGCTGATTGAATCTCGTAAAGTCACTCCTCTAGCTTGCAGCTGCTGCTGCTGCCTCTGCTCACGGGCCAAAAGGAAATGTTCCCTCCTTTCCGTTCGACTCCAGTATCGACCCATCAGCATGTCAGTGTTGGTCTCCTCATCTGTGCTCATCCCACTACGTTCATCTGCCAGCTGGGATGCTCGGTCTCTCAGGAGCTGGCTCCTGGAGATCCTTGAGGTTGTGCTATGTTTGGAGCTAAGATCAGTTTTAGGCTGCATACCAGAATTGGGATTAGGGCTCGAACTTGCGTTGATGTGTCCTATCTTTGCATCCCATCCAGCAGCACAGTTAACTCCTGTGTGGCCTTCCAGGGTGCTATATAGCCCCCTTCCTCCACCAGCCCCCTGGGACTGACGGTTTGCAGGTTTCGGCCAGGTGTCATTGACATCTCCAGCCTGAGGAGGGTAAATCAAACTCTGCAAGTGCTGCTGATCTCTGGCAATGGTCCTCCCCAGCTCCTGCTGCCTCTCTCTATCCATCTCTTCCTGTATCTGAGCCTCCCTCTCCCTCTCCAGCTCTTTCTCCTGTTGCATTTGCCTTTTCTGTTCCATTTCCCTCTCGATCTCTCTGTCCCTTTCTGTTAACAATGGTTCAGGCATCATGTGTCTTTCTTGGGAGTGCCAGTAGTCATGGTGGGGGATCTGGCTGTTTTGCTCATAGCATCTCTCATGGATGTTGGTACCCCTGATATGCCCCAGAGCTGAGGGATGCTGTTGGGGAGAGACAGCCAAGCTAGTTGGGTGGGAAGTAATCATACCTACCCTTAGCTCGCCTTCCTCTGGCAGGCCTAGCGGCATTACGTTGCATGGAGCAACACCCCCACAATGGTGCATGGTTGCTGCACAGTACGAGGGGGAGGCTGGGTGGCTGGCCCTGCGACGATACTCCTGAGGAGGAGGGCGATGGTGAAGTGTGCGGCTTCTCCTCAACATCCCCACTGAACTAGAGCCCTGGTGGTGCTGCTGGATGGGAACTAGGGATCTCCGATGGCTAGAGGGGGTACTGCAGGTGGAGAGGATTGGAGCTGTCATCCTTGAGACTGCAGCATGGGAGGGGTTAAAGAGGGCTCCACTGCTGGAGCTGTGACGGTTCAGACAGGGCCTATCAGCTTTATTGAACTGGACCGATGAAACCCTGGAAAGTTGGAACAGTGAAATCAGTCAGCGGAGCTAAAACATGTTTGGGAACATAGATGTTTGAAGTTTGACCTTATGAAACCAGCCCTTTACTTCTAATCTAACAAATAGGTTATACAGGTATACTTTTAAATTCATCTTTTAGAAACAAGCTCCAGATATAATTTTTTTTAAATTACACCTAGACTATAATTGAACAGCATTTAGTCTACCAGTTGCTACCTGAAAAGTCCCCGAGGTGGAAGGTCCATGACAGGTTCAGCAGTCTCCTCCATCCCGAGCTGCAGGCGTGGACACTGAGGCTGCATGGTGAGCGCCTCAGGGATAGCCTCCAGCAGCTCGCGGTGGCTCTTGGGGCAGCTATCCCGCCGCTCTCGCCTCTCACAGGGTTCGCCCTGGTGTTGCAGCCTAGCATTGTACAGCCGCATTCGCTTCTCCAGCAGCCTCTGGAAGTGCCTGAACTCCCCAGTGCTCACACTGTAGAAGCCAGAGTCGCTAAGCTCCGAGGAGATAAAAGACTCAGAGGATGGAGAGCCACCTCCATAGCCCCCACAACCCCCTGGGGCAAGGGCCCCATGAGAATGACAGTCATCCAGGCCTCCCTCTTCTGTCTCCAGTCCTGAGAGGTCCCCCTGGTGGAGAGAGCCATCAGTCCAGCCCAGGCCGCTGTCAAGCTCATGATGGAGGGGCATGAAGCCCAGAGGCTTCTCAAGCATGAAGTCCTCGTCGTCCGTCTGCAACAACAAGCATTCATAGTCCCAAGGTCATTCCAACTAATATCTTCATCAGAATACTATAAATAAACTGCATATTCAAGTTTCTATCTATGTGTAGGACCTTAGTACATTCTGCCCTAATGATTGTGCATTTTTTTATTATTCTTCACTATATTATTTCCTTAAAACAATCAAAGGCTAAAACCATCCCTGTGTTGTGCCTGTATGATGTGGCCCAGCCTCACTGGACTTGTTTAAGCTACCGAGTACTATTCTTAGATCTGTTTTTCCACTTCAGATAGAATCCTTCAGTGTAGGCAGGATTCTTACCTTATTGTCCACTACGTCATTGTCTTAATCTTCTTCTGCCCTTGCCAATTTATCAATACAGCCGGTTTTAAAAATCTCAGTAAAGTTAATTATTATGATCACTACTGATGGTAGGCCTGACTGTTTTGGGGATTGTCTTGATGGCTCTTGAACGATGTCCAATGTCACACAAGTAATGATTCTAGCTTTGATTCTCTACAAATCAGTAGAGTCTGCAAGGTTTTGACAGCATCTCTCAGTAGAATTTTAGCTTGCTTGGGACATAAACAGGTAATGCCTAATAAAGTACAAGGTACTGTCCACTACCAATACCAAAGAAAGCCAATAGAGGGGACTCTAGTTGACATTGGACACCATGCAGTAGGCCAGAGACAAAAGTATGTCTTACTAAACCATCTAACTCTTAAAAAACAGCTCACAAATACAATTATTCAAGCATCTTTGAAAAGTAATGAATAGTGGTTTCATAAAACAGCTGGTCACTACAGCGGTAAGAAAACTTAACCCGGAGGAAATAGTGCATCTGTATGTGGCTATATTCAGCTGCAGATAAATCCAAATTTGGTGTTTCAGTATTTCTGGAAGTAGGACTGAGTGTGTGGGATGAGTCAAAACAAACAACAGTTTGTGCGTTCAGAGTTGTAAATCAGTTAAACAGTGTGACTCATTGATGTGTTTTTAGTTTGTTTTTTTTAACACCATTGCAGCACAATGGCACAGGAGCTAATATGTTTCAAGCTTTGGATACAGAGACAATGCTTGTATGTGGGATCAGTTCAGTGTTGGGTTTAGTCTGCTCCTGAGATATTTTGATAGTAAAAATATTAAGAATCTCAAGGATACTGGAAAAAAAGGTATTTCAAATCCTAGCCTAATTCTTTTCATACAGATCTGCACTTGAGTTTTCAATGACACAATCAACGTCAGTGGGATAGAGATAGCCTTCCTGAATGAGGAACATTTGCAGGTCACAATAAATTAAAAAAAACATTTTCAGCTCACAATTTTCCAGCTCTTACCTGACTGTGGAAGCCATTAGGTTCTTCTAAGTTTGTATTGCAACATCCCATCAAGCAGTTCTGTCCATTAGGTCCACGACCAGTCAGCTCTGGATCCTGGGGGATAACGATGAGAGAAAAGACAATTAAAAACAACACAATTGTATTATGAGTAGTTTGTTTGTTACCAATTACAGGTTTTTGTGTGTTTCAGTTTTGTACTAAACAGCAAATGCAAAAGCCCTTTTGTAATGTATGTGTATGCTTGCAAGCTCTGAAGGATGAAGATGGCAAAAATATGTGTAATTACCCAAACTTTTTTGCATCCAGACACTCTACTGGGTCATGATTGTTTAACGCAGCGTATATAATGTTAGTCTAGTCTGTTCTCTCCAACAATCCGTAAGACTACTGAGCTTAATTTCATGAATACATGGATCTCCAAAGACTCCTGCTTTAACGATGGTAGAGACCGTCGGATGGAGTGTGAAACAAGTAATTTGATGCAGTTCAATTGTGAACTGCGTGTGTGTGTGTGTGTGTGTGTGTGTGTGTGTGTGTGTGTTTGTGTGTGTATGTTTGTGCCCATTTTCTGTGTGTTTCTGTTGTGTCACCTGATGGACCATGTCCACAGTGTCCCGTGGCGAGCTGGACAGGTAGCCGTACCGTCCTCCTTCACAGTGATCTTGTGGCAAAGCCAGGTGGCCGTAAAAATGTCTGACATACAAACAAAAAAAACAAATTTAGACATTTTATACCTGAAATGTGTTTTTAAACCCTGATGCAAAACTAAACCAGAGGCCCTCCACACACAATATGTTTCTGCATAGGCAACACATTTTCAAATGTGCACTCAGGAAAAGACTCGATGCAGCATTAGTGCTGGGCTGATAAAAATTCATGAACCCTTGCAATGACAAAATGAATGTCATGCAGCCCTGAAATATGAGAGGGTATCTTAAATTATTTAACATTATATCACTTTCCTCATCACTAAACAGAATTCTGAGATAAGCTGCAAATCTGGAAACCAAACTGCTGAGTGACAGACCATACTTTTTTTTTATTTTACTTAATTTGAAAAGGAATAAAAGGGAAATTTTCTTTCATCATCAAAAATGGAAAAAAAGTGTTTTGAACTCATACAAAGGAAAACTGGTACACATACTGACAAACTGTCTTTCTGTGTGTTTGTACCTGTCTTGGTAGGTGGGGCTGGACGCATTCATCCCCGCCCCCATTGGTGGGAGGGGCAGGTTGAGATGCTGCAGGTTAAGAGGCAGGGTCTCCCAGGCCCCCCTGTCTGCCTCAGTGCCACACCCCCTCTGACCCTTGATCTGCAGTGTGATTGGACGCTGATTGGCTGCCAAGATCCTCAGAGCATCCCGCTGGCTCAGGTGTGCTAGACTCCGCCCATTCAACTGAGACAGACATACAGGTGAAAAGTAGATCAGATACATGCGTGCAAAATCACACATTCTGGGCTGATATGCATCGTCTTGTTGGACTCACGTTGAAGTCAGCCATATGGGTATCATTTCTACATTCTCTATCTTTTGAAAGGACTGAGCTAAGTCGTAAAAAAGTCAAAGGAGAGCTGTTTTTCTCAACAGCAGAACAACCCTTACTGATGGAATTAGTAAGGGTAAGGACTTCACCAGTCATCACCAAAAAGACTGCCATTGTTAATCCTAAATAAACTTGTAAAATTAAATCGCTGCTTACAGTAATATCAAGGGTCGCCAAACTTTTTATCCCGCACCCCAAAATAACAATGCAACATACTGGGGATCCCCTCTGTCCCTGGAAATGGTTAAAACATTTAAAGTTGCGCACATCAGCCCGCACTAATAGGCCTTTCCAAACACTGCCATAACAACAAAACTAAAGAACACCGCAGCCTTAAAATAATTATATTATTTCAGTGTGTCTGTGAGCATTTTTATTGACAAAGAGCACATGCAGTACCAACATTGTCACAGTCAGATTTTTTTTTGCTTTCATTCCAGCACAAATCTCACTTAAGGACTATTTCACAATAATGGGTAAAATATGCAATTTAAGTCATTTCAAATTTGTATTTGTTTTTGGAAGGCACCTCGCGACCCCCCTGCCAGTGTCTCCCCCAATTTGGGAACCACTGGGCTAGATTATATCAGATGTACTGTATGTTTAAAACAACAGTAAAGGCTAACTTTAGAGAACAGATGCATTTACTGTTAATTAGCCTCATTTTAGCCTGAAGTCCCCTCTGACCTCATTCTCATTACCGGTTCTTGAATTCTCAACAGGAGCCATGCAAAGACTCAGAGACATTAAGATTATTAAATTCACCATGCACCTTTTAATGAACAATGCGAGAAAAATTGTAGATGATGGCAGCAAAGGGCAATAATCCCATGAGAATACAGATTCAGTCATGAATAGACCCCGAACGCTCTTCCAGCTGAGTTAGCCTAGCTTAACTGATCATACCAATTAAGACAACAAGAAGGGGAATGAATCTTTTGATATCTCACAATTTTGATTATGTGGGTCACGATTTGTTTCAAACTGAGGGCTGCCTATTTGAGGATCAACTCCAAGCTGCTGAGCACTTTATTATTTGACATTAAAAAGCTTGACATTTGTAACATAATGCTCATACTCAGCTGATTACATTTGCTTAAATACTAAGAGGAAAACCTAAAATACATTTTGTTTATGCTGAACTTGAAAAATACTTCTATATGACAACAAATTGTGGCCTTAAAACAGCTAATTAAGTTATCATCAGGAACTTGCCAAGGAAAAAATTGCATGGTCATAAATCTAGTAGCGTCCCCAAGAATGGTTTGGGACGCTGTAGGATTAAAGGTTTTTTTTAAACAGACGATGGATCTTTTTATTTGAATTGGCCGTTCAGAATTGGCTGCAGATCGGTAAAGTAATGCCGTGTGTGTCTGTCAGCAGTTGTCGGCCATTTTTCCAGTTTTTCAACCCTGGGTGGTGGTGACGTGATGTGAGCTCGGGCATTTGATTTTTTCCTGAAGTACTCCACTTTCTTAAGCAGACCTTCATATTGACTACATCAGGTCAAACTTCCCCCACCCGAGGGATTGCAGAATCCACAGTGGCTTCAACCTTGCTCTCATTGAAATAGGACAGGATGACAGTTCAGACCGTAGATATAATCATACATTACCGACGCTGAGAGCTAGCTACCTTTACCGCTGACAAGCTAGGACCGTCGTTCACCCCCCTGCTGCTGCATCAGTGTAACAAGGAAGGTGGAAAGGGTGACCTAAACAAAAAAACTAGCAGCAGGTTTGCTTTGCTGATACTGGCAGATGGTGAATATTTACTTTGGGCGTAAGAAAGTATGATTTGAAACATTTATTATTGGACGTTTTGAATCCATTCAGAAATTCAGTAACACGAACAAGTCATCTGTAGTAAAGCACCATTTTTAACCTCATGTTACTTTGAACAAGTTTTACGTTTAAATGGATTGAAGTTAACACATTCCCATTCTTTAGTTTGTCGACGCTTCGCTTTCTAACAACAGGTAGTTGGTAACATTGTCTATGATTTGGTTATGATGACTGAAAGACAGAATATAAAGCTTGGTTTAAAGAAGTTGAATTGCAAAAACAGAAGTTTCAGTCTCTGTGGTCTTACAACAACCAAAAATGTTCAACTGATTGAACATTGGTCAAAAAATATTGCTTTGCAAACATTCATTTTTTTTCTGACCATATGAAAGCATCTGGTTATTCTGAGCACATCTGTAACTCAATGTCACATAGACACAATGTATTTTCTAAGGAAAGTCTGTTTATTAATTCTATATTAACATAACTGATAAAATGGTCTCCTATTACTAACAATGTGCTAAAGTGTCATCTTGCAGATCTACAGTATGCCTCGTTAGAGTTGGTCCATGTAAGATAGTCCAAATTCAGTCATTCATTGGTCGCTTGTTTAACATTACAAATCAATGACTTAATGCACCAAATCCAAGAACATCCTTGGTCGACCAGTGATGAACACATCACTCCTACATGTACACAAGTTTACATGTAGTTTGCAGAGACGCTGGACCTCCTCTGCAAATTGAAGTAGCCCTAAAGATGTCATCAGCTTGAAGGTGACAAATGAACAACGAACGTATGAATTATTAAAAAAAAAAAAAAAAAGCCTGTTATAAACTGGAAATGGTAAGTTCTTGCCAGGTTGTGAGGTTTTAATCACAAGATGCAATGCGGTTGCATTGTGGGAAATGTAGGAACCACTTTTTGGGGGAATTTGACCCACATCAGGGGCTTTAAGGTAACATATCTCAGTCTTTTCCTTAAAATATGTATTCAGGTAACAAACTCAATCACCAGAGGAATGCCAAAATCAAACCTTACTCTGTGGAAAGACAGCGTCAACACTAATGAAATGTTAGTCGTCAGGCTTCCATTTTAACCGCACTTCATCTAGTCTGTATGTTTTTACACTCCAGACGATAACTCTGGAATAGTCAACGTTATGCAACTGGGTCACAACGCACTGTTTTGTAGACAGATGGTGAATTTATCCCATTATGACAAACAGTCTAATTTTGGTGATTTTACATCAAATGTGACGAATGTGGACACGGTGTTCATGTTTGGACTAAAGGGTTAACACCTACGAGCAAACATAAACCACAGCCTACTTCACACACACGCACACACGCACACACGCACACGCATGCAGCTCAGCAGCCATCGAATTAGACGCATGAACAGTATTGTTAACTCCTGCACATCACAACCATGAGTCACCCTCTGCTACATTCAACCAAACACGCACATGCACACACACGCACACACACACACACACACACACACACACACACACACACACACACACACACACACCGACTATGCACACTCACAGTATGAGTTGAGATGCACAAAATGGCACCTGTGTGTGGAAACAGGATGGTAGAAGAACGAGTGTGAGGCTGCAGCTGATGGATATGACGAACATGAAGATCCTTCTTTCAGAAAACATGAAAATTAATCTTATTGAGTAAAAAAAACAATTTCAAGTGTTTGAGATTTAATTCCATAAATTAGGTCAATTATCTAAACCCACACAAACAAATGGTCCTGCAGAAATAATCTTAAAACAATGCCAATTTGCATCTGTATCTTATCTTACACACACACACAGACACAGACACACACACACACACACACACACACACACACACACACACACACACACACACACACACACACACACACACACACACACACACACACACACTGAACAGGACGTGCACAGCTCATCTCCATCGTATTCCGATGAGACACCATAAAACACACACAGCATTACTTTGAGGCAGGGTTTTTGGATGCTCACCGTTTGGTCTCCCATCCATGGTCCAGAGAGCCAGCACCCCATCGTCACGGCAACAGAGGATAGCCGCCTTGCTTCCCAAGAAAATCACCGATGCTGCTGCTTCCTCCAGCAGATCGTCTCCTTCCTCCTCCTCCTCCTCCTCCTCACTCTCTCCGTCTACCTCTCCTCAGTGCTCTTTTCACTTTCGCTCTCTCCTCAGCATCCGTCCTCCTCCCTTCTTCTCTTCTATATTCCCCTTTTTCTTCCTTTTTTCATCTATTTCTTCATCGTCCGTTTCATTGCCCCTCCCCCTTCTCCACAGCTCCAGATTTTAGCATCCTGCACACACATACAGACACACGCACACACACAGTCTTGCATGCATCCAGCTCTGCAAACAGAAAAATATGCGCAGGCTGACACAGTGTATTCAGAGACGAAGAGGGAAACACAGGCAGTCACACAGTAAAGATGGTGTCTGATTGGTGGCCTTTCAAGGGTCATCAGCCAATCAGGCGCAGTGGTGTCCCTCTGGATATCTTCCTCTCCGACTGAAACTCCTCATGAAGCATCGACATGTGCAGGAGGGGGTCTGTACTGCAGAGATACACACAGTAACAGTGGGAAAACACCATACAACCATCCATCTTCTCGCTGTTAATCCAGGATCCTCCAACACATGCTGCTTAAGGCATGCTGGGAGTAGTAGTCCCTCCAGTGTGTCCATCAGAGGTATTCTGTTTCAGTCGCTCAGTTGTCCAATAAGCCATGTGCACAAATGAATTAAAAAAGAAGCCTGAATTAGTATGAGTGCTCTCCCAGAGGCAGTGTAGTCCAGACTGATGCTGTGTCCTAATTTTATTTTGTACACCACGTACTCTTTTGTGAATTCCTTTTTTTTTTTTTTGGTGCTGTCCCAAATTAAATAATAATAATAATATATTTATTTGTAAGCACTTTTCAAGACAGAAGCAGGTCAAGTGCTGCAGTGAAGCATTTTAAAAGGGATAATCACAAACGTAAACACAAGAACAGCAACATTGAGATGTACAGATAAAACACAACCAAGTTAAAAAAGCCAATCACAAATGTTGCGTTCAAAAATGCACCGGAGCTTATATGAAATAATCTGTCAGTTTAAAAGGCGAGTCTGTAAAAATGAGTCTCAGAAATTGTGTCCGCTGATTGAATACAAAGTGAATGTTCCAGAGCTGAGGTGCAATCATAGCATGAGCTCGATCACCCTTTGACCGCAACCTTGACTCAAGCCCGATGAGGCTGGTCTAAGGCTGTGTTCGCACTGCAAGCCTTCATGCTCAACTCTGATTTTTTGCTCAGGTCTGATTTTTTTTTTTGTTTGGCTGTTCACATTAGTTTTTAAACGTGGCCTGTTTCAGAACGCGGTGGGAATCTACATATGAAAGTGGGTCAAATCTGATTTGTAATGATCAGCTCATCAAAGCCTAAAATGTCTCCTTAGGTACTAAGGTGTTAAAGTCTTGTTTAAAGAGTGCCAGTGGCCGAGTGGTTTGTTCAGCACACCACATGTACAGAGGCTATAGTCTTCAAAGCAGTCGGCCTGGGTTTGAATTCATCCTGTGGCTACTTTCTCACCTTTTATTACTCAATCTGTCTCCCCAATTTACAGCTCTATCCGCTGTCCTGTCTCCCCAATAAAGGCACAAAAAAATATAAATACATCTTTATCTTTAAAAGCTCACTGAAGTATTCAGGTGCAAATTGTAAAAGAAATTGTCAACCGGTGCAGTGAGGCTAAAACAGTGGTGATGTGAGAAGTGCGCTCTGTCCCCATGAGAAGTCTGGCTGCTGAGTTCTGTACAGTCTGAAGTTGTGCTACAGGTCTTGTACTGAGGCTGGTAAAAAAGGGGACATTACAATAATCAAGATGTGAAGAAATAGAAGCATACATGTTTTTTAAATTGACCTGATCTTTGAGATGTTCCTAAGTCAATAAAAGCTCAATTGAATTACTGTTTTGATTAAAACTGAGGTCACTGTCAAATATAACCCCAGAGTTTCTACCGTGGCTCTTAACATTTGTGTAAATTGGGCCGAGGAGTGGCTCGATCTGGATGTGGATATTCTCAGGGCCAACAAACGAGTCTCTTCCGCACTAACCAAACATGAGGAAAGCAACATCACAGCACTCCTGCTTTGTGATTAACTTCATTGAATTATCAGCCATCAAACATTTGTTCAGGTTTCTTGCTCACTGGACTCCAGTTCAGTTTTAATGTGAATAAACATCATTGTTCTGTAATCTGAACTTCAGTATAATTTGACTGAGTCTGTCAGTAAACCAGTGTTTTGGTTTTATGAGCAGGTCATTTTATTCAAGATTTTGAATTACACGTGGCAACTTGGGGCCTTAGAGTTAGGTTATGCACCTTGTCAGTTCGGCATGGGGGCATATTGGGATAAGGGATGTCTTCACTGAGTGCTTATTATTTAATTAAGACACAAGTACCTGGTGTTTATTTCAAATTTGGGCTCAGTGGTAGAGTCGTCTCCCAACCGGAGGGTCGGGGGATTTGATCCCCAGCTGCTGCAGATACATGTCTGAATTTATCATTGGGCAAGACACTTAACTCCAAGTTGCTCCCACTGTTTCGTTGGCGGCGCGTGAATGTGTATGAACTGATTTGTTATACTGATGGTCACTTTACATAGCGGCCTCGTCCATCAGTGTGTGAATGTGTAGGTGTGACCTGCGGTGTAAAAGCACTTTGAGTGGTCAGGAAGCTGGAAAAGGGCCATACAAGCTGAAATCCATTTACCAAACATCAGGGTTAGTGAAGCCATATATAACCAAAAGATGAACTGTGTAAGTTGAAGTACAGGCCTCTGGTGTATGAAGGGTATAAGAGGGCGATGTAGGTCATGGCAACCTGAGCGTATATCTGGTTTTCCTTTTCTCACAGGTTTGAACTCTATACATAAACTTGCTGTGTTTGAACTCAGTGACTTCCAGTAGAGCGTTTTTTTTATTTTTATATCTGTCTTTGAATATCACATCACACGGGGCATCCTCTCCACCTTAATGTAACACATCTCTCGCTCTGATTGGATGGTGGCTGCGCTCTCGAACCTCCCGAGGTGACGCTGCAGAGTAGAGCAGCCAGAGATGTCTCCTATCCTCAGCGGACGGAATAAGAAACAGTCACATGAGCCTTATAGCCGCTCACATGCTCTGCGGTAACACACATACACGCATGTATGTAGGCTGAATTTTAACTGATTCACTCACTGACCCTGCTCTGACTGTTTGGTTACCATGGCTACCAGCTCTCTTGCACAGTTTAAAATACGAAGAGCTGCAGAATGCCACTGATACTGTTTGTATTAAGGTGTTGCAGATGTAGGCAATAATTGTGTGTGTGTGTGTGTGTGTGTGTGTGTGTGTGTGTGTGTGTGTGTGTGTGTGTGTGTGTGTGTGTGTGTGTGTGTGTGTGTGCATGTCTTGCTCCTGCTGCAGATAATGATGATGATGATGGGTGCATCTGGATGCCTGTCGCTGAGCTCTGCCATTTCTGAACTGAAGTACGGAGGCGGAGAGAGAGCGAGAGAGAGAGAGAGAGAGAGCATGTGTCAGAGTTACATACTGTAGAGCCTGAGCTGCGACACACACACACACACACACACACATAGACCTGTCTCTGTCTATAAATGGAAAGTACTCTTACTGTTGCTGAGAAGCCACGAGAAGCTTCTGCATGTGTAGAGTGTACATAGAGGGATTTATATTAACATCACTTGCCTTTTTAATAAGATGAATAAAAACTGGCAGCTAATTAGATTCACACTGAAGGTTTTTGCAAAGGAGCAAATTATTACATTTTCCTTACAAAGTTAAAAAAGAAAGAAAAATAAGCCTAAAATTTCAATATCAGAAAACTAGTGACTTTCGAAGGCAACATGGATGATTTTGTTTCTATTCACGTTGGCCAGTCGAGGAGGTTGGTTTTATTATACTTCCATTAGGAGAAGAAGAAGGTGTGGTGTTACTGAAGACCAATCCTGATTCCCTTCCTTGGTCTCACCCATATTTATGGAGGGACTTATAGTTGCCCTTATACGTCAGAGCTACAAGGAGTAGCGGCTGAATTGTTAACCGATCTTAAATGGGTCAAAACCAAGCAGCAACCTCTGGTGTTGAAAAATGATGTTCAAGTGCAAAATAAGCTGCAGTTCCACAAGTATCCACTTGAGGCTGGCCGCAAAAGCCAAGGGATCCCCTTTAGGGCCAATATCGAAGTGTCAATTTTTACAGCAGAAATAAATATTTCTGCAGCCTGGTGCAGAAACAGAGTAGGCTCACTTCTTCATTCGTACACACTGTATGGGAGGTGAATGTTTTATAAAGTATCCATCTTGATTATATTAAGGCTAAGAGGCAAACATTTATATTATTAGGGTTGATGAGAACAACACAAAAAAAATACAACAGCCTGAAAGTCACAATATTATTTTTGTAATTGAGTGTAAGAAATGTTGAAAAATCTCCATGTAAAACTGTAGCACTGATACAAAACTTGTTTTTTATTTTATTTGTAAAGAGCAGCAGACAACTACATTGTTAGTCATGTGCAAAGATTTTACAAATTTGTTTAGAATAGAATAACTTTATCGATCCCAAACTGGGAAATTGTGGAAAACAATTTACTATAATTTTAAGCTTAAATCTCACTGAGTGACTGGACTAACTGTGCTGTAACTGTAATGACCGACTTTCCCTCCGGTATTAATAAAGTATTTCTGATACTGATTTCTCCTTTTTTAATGTGCTTAGCAAAGTAAACCAGCCACTAATGCTGACATTATATTTTATTAAAAACGAGCCAAAAAATAATTTAACATTTCCAATAATTTAAACTATTAGTTAAATGTATTTCAACCTGTTTGCAGTTGACATAAATATTTCATATAACGCTGGTCAAACACTTTTTAAAATCCTATTTTCCCTCATTTGAGCGTTCAGTACAGTTTGTCTCAAGCAGGGACCTGTACAGTTTCCAGTGCTGCGCATGGGCGCCTATGATTGGTCAGGCTGTCAGAGCCGAGCTGTGATTGGCCAATTCCTCAGCGGTACCGGGGCGGGCGGAACATCCAGTTATCCTCACATCTTAAACTTCTTCGTGTTTAGCTGCTTCTCAACTGTCCAGCCCTTTTTTATTTTATTTTTTTTAATGCCGAGGTCAAGTCAGAGTACATTATCGCCTTTTATCAGACACCAGTTCCGCCTTTTGAATGAGGAGTTAACCTCCGTTATTCTAATATTGTTCTGATGGAGTTAGCTGTGTTAGCTTAGCATGCTAACATGTCATTGAAACCAATGTAAGCTAACTAATCTCGCGACGACTTTTTAGCCCACAGGTAAGACAACAGTACTGAC